TCTGTATTTGGCCGATTGCTTTTCGTGATGGCGTTTAACTTGTGCCTCTGTCCCATGTTCTTTCTGTAAACTAGTAATTAATCCAAAAGCCTGATAAGATTCAGGTCCAGCTGTGTTTGGCAAAGATGCACAAATGTGTGCAGTGCCGTGAACTTCCTTTTAGATCCTATCAGGAAGCACGTAAGGGCTGGTGGCCCCACTTTTGGGGATGCTGAGAGTGGTCAGTGGTTCTGCCTGATCCCTCCAGGATAGATTGTCTCCCTGCCACTCCACCTCCTCATGGTCTTCGCGTATGTGGATGGCTGCTGCCTCGAGCTGTCCTTCAGGGCTTCAGACTGTGGGGGGCTTTCCTTCCTCTCTTGTCTGTACTGTCCACACTGGGTCTGTGCACACCTTCCTTATGTCTGTTCTTCCCAGCCAGCTGATCGTGTCTTCCCTATTTCTTGTACTTCCTGGCATTACTGTGAACTTGGTAAGAGAGTGAAAGTACTTACGGAATTGAGTGGAGAGCTGAGACACGATAGGGTTAGGACTGAATCGTGTCGTGTCTGTCTTGAATCAACGAACTGGCCTCAAAAGAATAGATGGCCTTGGTGTTGGGGCAGGGAGCCACGTGGCCCTGCCTCTGGGAGCTGGCACTGTGTACACGGCACCTGGCTTGTGGTGGGGAGATGGGTGGGACAAGGCTCTCCACTTGCTGGTGGTGGTCCCCAGTACCTCGCCCTCCCTTTTCTAGGAGAACCGCCGACGGGCCAAAGAGGAAGCCTCTGCCATGGAAGAGGAGATGGCACTGGCTGAGGAGCAGCTGCGAGCCCGCCGGCAGGAGCAAGAAAAGCGCAGCCCTCTGGGCAGTGTCAGGTGGGCTGCGGCCTCGGGACCCTGGCTGGGATGGTGCCTGCCCCTGAGAGGCTCTGGGGAGCAGCCCGATAGACTGAGCAGGTCCCCATGCAGGCCGGTGATCTAAAATTTGAGTGTGTGGAGCTGAGCTGGTCACAGAAGTTGACTGGTTCCATGGAGGCATGGGAGGAGTTCCAGACATACTCTCAAGGGGCAGTGATACATCTGCAGCTCCTGGTCATTGTCATGTTGTACTGAGGCCTGCGGTGGGCTGGAGAAGTAGGCAGGGCTTATAGCTCTACCGACAGGCTAGGGCTTGGAAATCATGTGGAGACGGGAGGAGAGTCTTGGGCTTCTGTGTCTGCTGGTGCCTGGAGTCAGGTCAGACTTCACAGGTGAAGGGCACAGTTCTCCACAAGACTGCCTTCACTTCAGGGGCACCTGGGTGGCTCAGCCAGTCAAGTGTCCAACTGGAGCTTGGGTCGTGATCTCGCACTCTGTGAGCTCAAGCCCCGTGTCAGGCTCTGTTCTGACAGTTTGGAGCCTGGAACCTGCTTCAGATTCTGTGTCTCCCTCTCTCTCTCTGCCCCTCCCCTGCTCACACTCTGTCTCTCTCTGAAAACAAAACAAAACAAAACAAAACAAAAAAAAAACTGCCTTTACTTCAGACACCAGCTATAACTTGGGGTGTGCTAAAGATCCCTCTCACTTCTGACCACCTTGCTACATATTTGGGGATCTGCATGGACTCCCCCGCCATTTGATAACTTGCTAGAGTAAGTTGCTAGAATAAGTTGCTAGAATAACTCACAGAACTCAGGAAAGTACTGTGTTTGAGATTACAATTTTATTATAGCCAAAGGTTACAAATCAGCACCAAGGGAGAGATGCATAGAGTGAGGTCTGGGATGGTCCCAAATGAGAAGCTTCCATTGTCCTTGGGGCTGCATTACCCTCCTGGCCCATTGGTGTGTGATAGTATGCACAGAGCATTGCTAGCCAGGGAAGCTTCAGCGTCCAGAGCTTTATTGGGGTTTCATTACATAGTCACGAATGGTTGAGTATGTATCCATGTGATTGACTCAGTCTCCAGCTTCCTTTCCATAGAGGCTGAGCTGATATCATGAGTCTCAAAGTATAGCCTTCTGGTCACGTACTTGGTTTTTCTTTAAAAAAAATTTTTTTTTTAACGTTTATTTATTTTTGAGACAGAGAGAGACAGAGCATGAACGGGGGAGGGTCAGAGAGAGGGAGACACAGAATCCGAAACAGGCTCCAGGCTCTGAGCTGTCAGCACAGAGCCCGACGCGGGGCTCGAACCCACGGACCGCAAGATCATGACCTGAGCCGAAGTCGGCCGCTTAACCGACTGAGCCACCCAGGCGCCCCACGTACTTGGTCTTTCTAGCTGGGCCAGCCCTTATCCTGAGTCCTCTTGTTAGGATAAACTATCAGATGTTACCATGTGTAACAGAGACACTCAATCCCTCTGGAAATCTCGAGGTTTTAGAGATGACCTCCCAGGACTGGGGCCTAGGGCCAGCCAGATTCTTTATTAGAAGGTGGAGTGGCCGTCTGGTGAGGTGGCTGGAAGACTGCTTCCATAGCTCACCTGGGAGGCATGAAAGGAATTGTTAAAAAATTTAGCTGCCAACAGTCCTTGGTGGGTATCAGAGTCAGGTGGTGCTGTTACTCTGCTCCCCATCACAAATGGGGATGGCAGCAGGGGGGAAATGTGCTGGGGGAGAAGACTGTTCAGCCCCAAAGCCTGCTCACACACAGAAAGAGCAAGGCCTCAGGCTCCTTGCTGTGCTGTGCATCCTGGTTGGCGTGAGTAGCAGTGTGATTCCTCACCCCTCTTTCCGTGTCTCCAGGTCTACAAAAATCTACACTCCAGGTCGGAAGGAGCAAGGGGAACCCATGACCCCTCGCCGCACGCCAGCCCGCTTTGGGCTCTGAGCCGAGGCTCTCCCTGCAGAGGATGCAGCATGTGTTGAGTCCTGAGCCCTGTGGCCAGAGCATCTGGGGCCTGCCAACAAAACCCTTTCATCTGCGCACTTTCGTCTGTGTACATCACAGCCCCCGGGGAAGCTCCTGCAGGGGCCAGCTCTACAACAGAGGGAGTGGCAGTTCCTTGGTGCAGGGGTGCAGGTCAGGGTGCGGAGCAGCGAGAGCTGCCAGGGCAGTGAGAGCTGGCCAGACCCACTGTGTCCAAATAAACCATTCCTGGGATGCTTGGTGTATAAATGACTTGGCCGTAACTATGGTTTTTTAAAATTCTGTGTAAAGCAGCAAAATAGACCTACAGGGAATTGTAATTTGGTTATAATTCAGGATTTGGAAATAAATTTATTGTTTGTAAAATGTTATTGCATTTTGGACTGTTCCTTTTTCCCTCGCTGCCCTAAATTACATAATGATAGAAGATGGGCAAGACGCCGACTTGACTTTCTTTAGGTGGCTCCTTCTAAAATCTCACCTCACCTTATTTCTGTTCTCCAGGCAGTCCTCTTAGAAGAGGGTTGGCAGGGTGGGACACAGCTGGCAGGGACAGATAATGGCCTGGGGCACTAGGCGGGCCAAACTCTGAGGGCGCCTCACTGTTCCCAAGGCTGGTGGGCAGGACAAGGCTGGCCAACGGCCAAGTGGGAGGGAGGTGAGTAGCCATGCGCCCTCTTCCCTTCCCCAGGTGTGGGTTGGCTGCTCTCTTGCTCAGAATGGCAGAAGTTTGCTCTGCGTGTGTAAGGGTGCTGTATTGGCAAAACTAGTGTAACATACTGCTTCTTGATTTTTGTGTAAAGGATGATCCTTGCACTGAAATCACTAAGCTTTTCTCTTGTTAAGCAGCCTGTATCTGCTGAGGTGGCTCTTTGGGTATTTGTCCCTTTGCATCACGCACGGTCTTTATTTTGTGATCCCCTGGGGTTGGGCTTCTGCTGGGTGTGCTGGTTGCAAGGTTCTGTGTCAGGGCTGAATCACTGCTGGGGTTGGCTTGGGGCTCAGAAGCACCTTGATCCCAGGCCAGCACTCAGCTCCAGCCCCTTGGGCCATGCTGCTATTACTTCTATTCCCTTTCTCACTTTGTTCCTGGGATGTGAATTTAAAATTTAAGTCAATTTTACAGATGAATTTGGAAGCTTGGCTTTGCCAGCCAGCACCAGCTACCACCTCCACTTCCATTCTTTTTACCTCTAACTGCCTTTATTGGGAATTCAGGTAGAAACGGATTTTTCATGGCTCTGGAGTGAAGAAAGGGCTTCTGGCTGCCCCTCTGGGAAGGCTTCTAATCATGGCACTGAGGTGAAGGGCTAGCAGAAGGTGTCTACCTGCTCTGTGGAAAGAAGTAAGCTGGGTGTGTGATCTATTTACAGACGTGGGCTTGGGATGCAGAAGAACGGGGGAAAATGGAGGTTCCAGTGAATGGCTTTGTTACTAACACACAGGCTGTGACCTTGGTCATGAACTTATCTTCCGATTCCTTAGATCACAAGCATGAAGCCAGAGATTATGAAAACCATGGGTCAACCCAAACTTCTCATTTAAAAACAAGGAGCACCTGCAAGGACACCTGCCACACCAGGTGCCACAGGGTGCTTGGGGAGGCTCCCCACCCCCCAGCAGCACTTCCCAAATCTGTTTTGGTGTTGGAACTTCTGCACAAGAGTCTGTCTGGACCTCTGTCTCTAATATTTTCTTTTAAATTATGGATGCTTTCTATTCAGATCCACCTTAAAGTTCCTTCCCACTTTAATATTCTGATTCTTACCACCTCTTCCTCAGATAATAACTGATTTCTGCCCCCAGGGATACAAAAGCATGTCTTTGACAAAAACCCTGAAGGGGATTCTGGAGATTGGCTTTTAGGTTTTCTCCTGGTGTGAAGGAACAGTGAGGCTGTTGAACTGGACATCTTTCTGGGGGCCCCCTGTTGCTCTCAGTCATGGGCATCTATCTTTAAATGCCTAGTTGATGGTACTTTAGACACATGTCAGCAGTTGTGGGTCTTGGGCTGAGATGGGGGTTCGTTCTGGGGACTCCAGAGCTTGTTTGCAAGGTCTTGTCTATGGCAGGAAGCTTCCTCCTCAGTTGGGCTGTGGAGAGAAGGCTCAAAAGACAAGTGCTTATGGGGCAACATGGTGATGCCAATGAACTTCTCCTTCCCTTTAGTAAGACAGCCTGAGGGGGCTGATGTTTGCTCTGGGTTTCTTCAGCTCAGTGGAGAAAATTATACTCCAGGTGGATCCAAGAGAATCTGTTGCAAAGGATTCTGTGGGCCCAGATATCAGAATCTGAGTGACATCTTCTCAATGGGTGGCTGAAGCACTAATTTTTTTTTTTTTTTGGTTACTTTTTAGGACAGTTTCCGGTGTGCAGCAAAATTGAGCAGGAAGTACAGAAATTTCCCATATACCCACTGCTCCCACACACACATAGCCTCCCCCACCATCAACATCCCCCACCAGAGTGGTTCACTTGTTATGACTGATGAACCTACATTGACACATTATCCCACCGAACTCATAGTTTACATCAGGCTTCACTCTTGGTGGTACATATTTGATGCATTTGAACAAATTTATAATGAACAAGTGTCCACCATCGCTATATCCTACAGAGACCATTTCTAATATCAGCTATTCAAAGTACCTTTTAGAAACCCCTTTGGTTATTTCTTAAAGAATTATAATTAGGCAACACTCAACTTCCCTGCCCTTTGCCTTATCTTTAGAGAAACTACATTTCTATAAGTTCAACTCCTCTACCCCATCAGATCTCCTCCCTAGCTGGGCTCACAGGGCCAGATGGCTGGGGTGACATATCTGTGTTTTCCTGCTCTGCCCTTTGCTCCCCGTAACCCACTACCTGCCATGCTCTGGTGTAGTCACCCCACAGGAAGTGAAAGATAACTTTGAAAAAATGTACAACATTCAAAGTATCCAGCTGTTGGGGCGCCTGGGTGGTTCAGTCAGTTGAGCATCCAACTGTTGATCTTGGTCAGGTCATGATCTCACAATTGTGAGATTGAGCCCCATGTTGGGCTCCATGCTGGGTGTGGAGCCTGCTTGAGATTCTCTCTCACTTTCCGTCTCTTTAAAAAAAAAAAAAGTATCCAGCTATTATTATCTTGGCCAAAATATATGAAATCTTTTCTTTTTTTTTTTTAATTTATTTTTTTAATATTTATTTATTTTTGAGACAGAGAGAGAGCATGAACAGGGGAGGGGCAGAGAGAGAGGGAGACACAGCATCTGAAACAGGCTCCAGGCTCTGAGCTGTCAGCACAGAGCCCGACGCGGGGCTCGAACTCAAGGACCGTGAGATCATGACCTGAGCCGAAGTCGGACGCTTAACCGACCGAGCCACCAGGTGCCCCTGAAACCTTTTCATAAATATAGAGACTAAATGTCTTTTTTAGTGGATTGTAGTAGGGATTTTAACGACACTGAACTTTTGTTTGAGTGAATGGGCTACAGGGTAGAAGCAGGAAACCATTTCACTAGAACCAGATTCTTCAGTCTTTGTTTACTCTGGAAAATATATCCTTACTCTAAACCCAATGGGGGTACATAGTTAAAAATAAACATAAGCAAACAAACAACACTGTCACAGCAGAGACTGTCAGAGATGCCCGTCACTCCTGCCTCAAACTGCACCTCTTGTATTTGCTTTTCCCAGGTATTGGCATGTGCATTCTATGCAACATGTTCCTATTTGGAATGAATTTTCTTGGCTTTTGTTTGGCTGCGGAGTGAGGCAAGAATATTTAAGAATCCTTACCAACCCCTTACCAAGGAAGTGGGTTTCTTCCTTCACTTCTCCTGTCCTCCACCCCAAGATGCAAGCTCTTTCATTTCTTTCTCTATCTTAGTAGCTATTTCTGTAAATCTCCTACAGACTAGGAATATATATTCCAGACATATATTCAGTTTAACAAAATCTTGCCACAGTAAAATAGTTTAGTTGTGCTTGGAGTTTGTTATAATGGAATTTTACTTGTACTGAGCTGGCTGGGGAGAAAAACAAAATATTAGAAGGAGAAATGGAATATGGCAGCCAAGGAGAAAGCAGATGCTTCTCTCTCCCTCTTCCATTTGGAAAATGTATCACTCATTTCTCTTCCTTTCTTTTGGGTCTCAGGATCACTTTCCTTTTTGAGGTCTTTAGATATTTTTTTTTCCTTAAAATTGCAGACAGATGGAAATAAAGAAGGAGTTAATTATCTCTTGTTGTTTTAAAAACTAATACAGGTAATCCAGAAGCTTGCTTTGGGAGTTAGAGCTTCCCCATATATGTGAGAGAGACTGTATCTTTTAGAATACTAAGAAAACAGGATGAACATGTTGCTGGGGGCTTGAGGGGGCAGAGATGTCTGCAAGACGCCGAGAGCTCACTGACACTGCTATGCTCATGTTTTTATTTTAGAGTTTGGGTCTGGAGATGGTAGTACGGTTCCAATGCTCACTCCACTGCAGAAAGTGGACAAAACTCAATAAAATGTTTGCATCTTGCAAAATAGGCTGGGACCTTGAGGCATTCCCATAAGAGCTGATCCAAGAGAGAGAGGCGGGAAATCACTGTCCTCTGAAAAACGTGCGTGGAAATGATGCTCAGGGCAGAGGCGCTGATTCTAGCAATATGAGGAACCTGAGGGAACAGGGAGGAAATGATAGTCTTGATTTGAGGAGAAATTAATGAGGTGATTCCTCAAGGACTGGCCTCATGGCCAGGCATCTCAGCTGTGGGGTGACTTCTTCCCTTGGGGGTAATATGGAGTCTATAGGTGACAGAAAAGGTAGCCGTGGACCCAGGCTGAACAGGGGACTGGGGTGCTCTTTTGGGGTTTTCCGAACATATTATGGGAGGAAGATGTCTATTCTGCCTGTTCCTTCCTTGTCCCTACACTTCCCAAAAGGGACTGGGTCAGGGAGAGGGATGGGTCTGACATATGATGCACTTGGGTATCGTCAAAGAGTCTTAGATCAGAACGAGCCTTAATTCACTCACCTCTTCTCTCTACAGATGAGGAAACAATTATCTTTGGTCTAGAGTAGCTGAGCAAAAGATCTGTCCCCCAGCTCCCACTTTGAATTCCCAATGCAGTGATCTCTTGAAAAATAGCATCAGGCTGTTGCTATTTTTTTTTTTTTTTTGAACCATGGGACTAAGTGAGATGATATCACATAAGTAGCAAAAGATAAATGGCAGAATACCTGAACAGTGGGGTATCCCGACAAACTTGGTGATGTCCATTCTTTGGTTCATGTCCTGGGACATCCCCCTCCAGCCCAAGGTGGCACACACTTTTCCCTTTGGTATGGGCTCCGTTTTGCTCGGGCATAGGGCTTTGGTGTATAGCTTTGGGTGCCCGGTTTTCACCTTCTTCTCCTCTATCTCAGTCTTCAGTTTCTTGTTTTCTTGCTGCAGATGGACCATTACATTGTGGAGGTGGCTGAGGAAAGGACAGAGGATGTTCAGTCTGCTTCAACTCCCGAGCCACTGTGTCATGTCAGCTCAGGGCCTGTTTTCCTATCTGTCAGATGGGGATAATTAAGTCTGATCTGCCTTCTGTGCTTCATAGAAAGATCCAGTTTGACAAATGATAGAAATTGGATTTGAAGAGCCAGAAGGCTATTATGAACAATCACATGTGCTCGGGCTGTCCCTGCTGGCCATACCTGGGAAACACTCTCATCCAGTTCTGATGCCAAAGTCCAGGTTCTTTTGCCTTCCTTTGCTGGAAGGTTGAGAGCACAGGGGATCCCAGCTCTGTTGAGAGCTTGGACAAGTAACTTATCCCCATTTTACAGATGAGGAAATGGTGGCAGCAATGTAGGTGAGGTGAAAGAACTTAGCATATCTCCTGTGGCTCAATAAATGGTCATATTTCTCTAAACCAATGCTCAGGGCAGTGGGTGACAGTGGGCTCTGGAACTAGACTTCCTGAGTTGGAATTCTGGCTCTGCCATTTACTATTCATGAGTTATTTAGCTTTTGGGTTCCTCTCTTTCTTCCCCCATGACAGTTTTTTATGGTTTTATGATTTTAATGGTACTGAACTCATGGTTTCTTATGAAGATTAAATAAATTAATACATATGAATCACTTAGATCAGTGTCTTACACAGGAAACTGACAAATAGTATTTGCATTATTATTATTATTAGAAGATGGTTTTCCTTCAAATGGGTTCACTTAAGAATGAGTTCTTTGTGGGGCGCCTGGGTGGCGCAGTCGGTTAAGCGTCCGACTTCAGCCAGGTCATGATCTCGCGGTCCGTGAGTTTGAGCCCCGCGTCAGGCTCTGGGCTGATGGCTCAGAGCCTGGAGCCTGTTTCCGATTCTGTGTCTCCCTCTCTCTCTGCCCCTCCCACGTTCATGCTCTGTCTCTCTCTGTCCCAAAAATAAATAAACGTTGAAAAAAAAATTAAAAAAAAAAAAAAGAATGAGTTCTTTGTGAAACAGAACTTCCTGGAACTGGGCACAATATAAGAAAAAGGATGAAATGCTTTTTTCTGTTACCTTCAGATTCTTACAATTTTTCTTTCAGTTAATCCCTTTCAGAAAATGCTTTTGTCCTAGTGAAAAATTTCATGGTCTTTTCTAGAAGAAATCAAAGAATTCATTCCCAACTTCTCTGGGACTGTGGTTTGTCCTCTTGCTCTCTATAAACCTGGCTGGTGTCCAAGACACTTATTCCCTTGGAGCCCCACATGTCATTGCCATACTCCATATGCCACTGGGCCTGGAGGAGGGGTCCTCACCATGCCCTCATTCCCTGGCTCTCTGCTACTCTCTTTGGTCCACTTCTTTCAGCATTCCCAAGTGTCTTCAACATCCTGTACTTTCTGTCCAAGTCCTGGCCTCTCAGTTGCTTGACTTCTGTATTCCAATGATCTTATCTTCTCCTTAAACTCAGCCACCCTCCTAAGGTCACAGCTCAGAGCTTTCCAACTGGGGCTGAGATATGGACACCCCCAGCTCTTGGGGCAGCCACTGGTTGGTCAACTTTATCATAAACAACCCGTCCCAAATCCTTCCACTGTGCCACACAAATGTGGTTATTTTCTAAGTGTTCCCTGACAAAGGGTTGAGAAACATTGCCCTAGAGCTTATCATGACCTGTTACCTGTACCATCTCCAAAGTCTTGGTTTTAGACGTCCATATGTTCACTTCTGTTCCCAGACTTCCAACACTCCTCCTACACTGCCCTCTGCTGACCCAGCTTTGACCAGGAGGGTGAAATAAGGCCACAGGGGAGGTTGGAGCAGCAAGTAGAAGGAACCTCCGTTCCCAAATGACCATGTGAGACAGAGGAACCCCACCACCCTGGACTGTTCACTTCCTAGGGATGTTCCTTCCATGTTCTCCATTCTTTCATTCAGAGGTCTCTTTGTTACAGCAGCTTAGTCTCTACCCTAACTAGTAGTGTCTAACTTTCAGTTCATGTTTCCTTCTTAGAATTTTTGACCTCTGATAATCGCAAAAGGTAACAGTGAGAAGGGGCATAGGGACCATTAACCCCTTCCTGTATTGTTGGTGAGGGAACAAAGGCCCAAAGAGGTAGTGATGTGCCCAAGGTCACATAAATGTGGATTCACTACTCAGAATCTTTCCAAAGCCCCAACTCTTTCCTGAGGTCAGATGCATGTATCTAATGGAAAAGCCAGCCCTGGCTCGTGCCTGACCCTTCTCCTTGGGGCTCAAGCAGCAGCCTGGGTGGTGTGGGATGACTTACTCTTTTTCTCCAGTTAGCTTGGCAATATATTTGACCTGTTCACGGAGCCTGTTTCCTAGTTTCTCGTTGGCAATCCTGTAATAAAATCCAAAAGAGAGACAGTTCCCAGACCTCCATGTAGAAGGGCATGAGCTGGATGGATGGGTTGTTGGTGTTTTCAGTAAGGTGTCTGCTGAACCCTAGACCCTGTTCATTACCCAGTCCCCAGAGCTAGAGCCTCCTTAGCACGTGGCAATTAAGGGGACCCTCCATTCTCAAACTCCCATGCAAGATCACCATGATCTCAGGTGATGTCAAGGGATTCAGGCAGCGAAGCCAGATTCCAGGTTGGGAAGAGGGACTATGACCCACAGCAAAGCATCTCTTTTATCTTGGAGCTGCTCTGTTTCTAAGTCAGCAGATCTTTCTGATTCTGACTGACTAGTTGAGGCCCCTCCATCTTATTCCCAGCCTCTGAATGTGGGCTGATACTGGATCCATGTCCCCAGAGGGCAGTGTGTGTGCAGGTTCTCAGCTCAGCCCAGGCCCTGGAACCCTGCCTTACTTTTTTCTCCCTTACTTACTTCTGCTCTTTTGCCCATTGCTCCATGTTGGACATAATCTGATCATTCTCTTGGTGCAGCCTACAGGTAGTATCTTTAGGTGCAGACCTCTGGGGCACACAACAGGGCTTTGGTACAAGAAGAAAAGGAGATGGTTAGGGGTGGGAGCATAGGCCTGTCATCTCCTTACTTCTAAATCAGGCCTCTTCTGGGGCGCCTGGGTGGCGCAGTCGGTTAAGCGTCCGACTTCAGCCAGGTCACGATCTCGCGGTCCGTGAGTTCGAGCCCCGCGTCAGGCTCTGGGCTGATGGCTCAGAGCCTGGAGCCTGTTTCCGATTCTGTGTCTCCCTCTCTCTCTGCCCCTCCCCCGTTCATGCTCTGTCTCTCTCTGTCCCAAAAATAAATAAACGTTGAAAAAAAAATAAAAAAAAAAAATAAATCAGGCCTCTTCTCTCTTCCTGGAAGAAGAAACATTGATTCTGCCATCCAACCCCTAGGCCAGAGTTGGGACTGCCACAGCAGAACCTCTGCCTCCAGCAGTACAGGCACACAAGGTGACATCTCTGCCAGGGCACCATTTACAGTAGAGACAAAGGACACATGTATGCTTACAATAATGATTTTTGGGCAAAGGAATTAAAACAGTTTGTTCTACAAAAGCAACACATTAAGCCGCTTTTTTTTTTTTTAACAGATGGAAAAACAAATATCTTGAGGAATGGATGCCCTTTTTTTAATGCAAGCTAAGGCCCTGTGGCTACCCTGAGATATCCTGTGGCCTCCTACCATGCACTTCACTGCTCAGGGACCAGGGCATAGGGCATGCCCAAAGATCTCTTAGCAGATTCTACTACAGGGTAGGTGAAAGTGTCAGGATGGGCTCTGGAGGGGGACTGCCCTGTGGGTTATCTAAGTCAGGGCAGGTGGTATACCTGACAGGGAGATGGCACTCTCTTCCCTGGAATAGGTCTTTGTTCTGCTCAATATCGCTGTCAACAAAGGCACAGGAAGACAGTTGGGTTGAGACAACTGCTATGGGACTTAGAACATTGAGACCTTGCTTCACACTGAATAGAGTGTGGGCTGGGGGTGTCCTTGCCTAGCTCTTAGGTGCCCCCATCCCCACAAGGGCTGTTTGGTATCCTGGTGGTCGTGGATGTGTTGGGAGGGTCTGGGAGGAGGTGTCAGAAGCTGAGGAGTACCCACCTTTTTCTCGTCTGCCAGGAGGTTCTCCTTCAGGGCGGCCATTTCCTCCTGGAAGGCCCTAAGTTGCTCCTCTTTAGCTGCCAGCATCTTGAGGTCGCTCTGGTGCTGCTTCTGCCACTGCAGCACCTGGTTGCTCATCTCCTCCAGCTTCTTGTCGAAGGCATGCACCTGCTCAGGGGCGCAAAGTGAGAAAGGAGACCCCGGCTTGCGGCCCTGACCCCAGAGCACCCATGACAAGGCCTAAGAGAGCTTTCTCAGCTTTGGGGACTCCTCAGGGGGCAGTTTACTTCCAGTACCAGCAGAGGGCGCCCCCGCTCTGACCGTTGCCTCCTCTGCCTGAGGCTCGCTGAGCCAGCCAAGTGGAGGGAGGGAACCGGTCAGCCGAGGGGAATGGCTCAGTGCTAAAGAGATGGAGGGGCAAGAGGAGACCTTGGCGACCTGGAACAGGAAGGCAGCCTGAGCTCCTGACTGCTTCCTACCTCTAGCTCGCTCTGCTCATGGAACCCCTGCAGTTTTCTTAATTCCACGTTGAGCTTTTTCATCCTTTCCTCATAAGCAATGATTTCATCTTCCAGCTGAACTTTCCTCTCTTGGGCTTGTGCCAAGCTTCGGTGCAGGCTCTTGGTCTCGGAGGTCGCATGATTGAGCTTCCACAAAGACAAAGGGGATGAGAATGGCTGTCAAAGCCATTTAGCCCTTTCTGTTGGGTGCTGAATGGAGAAGCATTCCAGTCCCTCCCCATCCTTCTCTGTTCAGGGTGGCAGAGACACCTAGTCACTTGCCTAGGGTCCCAGAGAGGGGTGGGAAGTGACAATGGTTGGTTTTCTACATCCTCCCTTTCTTCCTGTTTCCTCTTTTTCCAATTCTATGAACTGATCAGCTAGGCATGATTGGTACTGAGTGGGGCACAAATTACCCAGACAATCTAGGTTTTGGGAGAACCTCGCCCCTGGGTCACTTGTGGCCAGAAAGACTGATTGGATTTGGCCTCCATCTTTGCCTCCCCTTCCTCCCCTCAAAAGAATCCTCATTAAGAGGAAGCAGGCCTTCTCTGGAAGGATATCGCAGCTTGTGCAAGGGTTTGCAGATGGTCCTGGTGGCAGCCAGTCACGCAGGGGATTGACTCTTACATCTCTTATGCTACTCAGATGTTTCTTTGCCCAAAACAGTCCTGGAGATGAGAGGGTATGGCTTACCTTCTCCAGAGCTTGTGTCAGGTCATCTTGGCAGGCGAGTGACTTTCTGGATAATTCCTCATAGGCTTCTTTACTGACCATGGTCTGGAGATATTGCTTCTCTTTCTGCACAGTCTTGTCCAGCTGGACCTGCAGACTCTCTAAGGCCTCCTTCTGAAGGACTAGCTTTAGGGAGGGGAAATATCACTGTCGAGATTTATGCCAGTAGAGGCATTCTCTGTCTGTAGGAAATGGATAAGAGCTGGTCTCTCTTCTCTCTGCACTAGCCTGCAGAGCAGTCTGTGATAAGACCTACACCCTCCTCTCACTGTTATAAAAGGAACAGCTGCCTTTCCAGGCTCTTCTTCACCCCTCCCCTGACACTCCCCTTCTAAGTTAGCAAGTCCCCCAGATACAAAGAGTACTGGCAGTACTGGACCATGATGTATCAAGCACATGAATAGTCCCTTTCACAGACTCTGTAGCCTTTGATAAAGAGCTGGAACTCAATTCTAGGTTAAGAGACATGATACAACATTGCATTTGTACATTTTGTGCCTTTCTTAGTTCCTGACATAATCCACTAGACTTGATATACCATGAGAGTGGGACTGTGTGTGCTTCCTTCACTGCTGTATCACCACTGCCTATATAGCTCAGGGCATGGCACATAATATGTGCTCAGTAAATACAAAATAATTTTTTTGATTGAATGTAATATTATACATAGCAATGTTTGGAATTAGGGATACACTGAACATATAGTTATGGTAGAAGTGTGTTTAAAAACCAAAGTCCTTGTTGTAAACTTAGTATTCATGCCAAAGCTAAAAGGAATTAAGATCTGGAGTTAGAGGTCCAGGTTCTGTCATTTACTTAATCTGTCTTAGCCTCAGTTTCCTCTTCTGCAAACCAGGATACTTTCAATGGTTTTGTAGAGTTTTGGTGATGATCAAATGAGATTATGTAGGTAAAAAGGGCTTAGTAAGGTATACATTACTATATAGCTGTATGATCATGAACATGCTAAGTAACTAGCCATCTTATTAAATATTTCTAAGTACAGGGCAGAGATCTACTTCCAAGTCCAGAAGTAGGAGAGAGACCTTAGAAATTCACATGCCCAACTTCTGTTCTTTGGTATTTTATATGTTCTTTAGTATTTCAATACACCCACATCTTCTATGTGGCCATATACACAGAAACACACTCTGTTGAGTTTTCTTCAGTAGCTGCTCAGGGCTTGAAGTTTATTATTGTTTCAGATGGAATTTTGAGTATCTTTGACTCTAGGAATTAGTGAGATAAGAAGTGTTAGATTGCACTTCTGACCCTATATTTACATGTCTTGGGAGTGAAACCATTTCTAAAGATAGAATAATTTGGTCTTCTGGAAAAAGAAGTCCATCTTTTTTGGGGACTTCTGAAAACATGAAGTCATCTGGGTCTCCCCAGTAAACCAGGGGAATCACTGTATGTGATTCATTGTAAGTTTTCAATAAATGGTGGCCAAATCAAGATGTGTAACCACAGAGGTGAGATATTGAAAAGAAGGGTGGGACATAAATCACAATGATGCTAGAAGCTAAAATAGAAGCTTAATTAAATTAATTTTGTATTATTTATTTATATGTAATAAATATGTATTATTTATTATTTAAATTATTTATTTATTGCTTTATTTATTTTTTAAAATTTTACCAGCAAAAGATGGGTTTATTTGGGAATGAAAGAGAATTGCAATCGAGGACAAACAAGCTGTGGCAAAACCATAGACAAGTCTGGGGGACAAAGGAGAGATATGCTTTTTTAAGGAGAAAGGGGTAAGTTGGGAAGGCTGTTAAGAACTAAAAGTCCACTGGAGTTTGGAGGCTCTATTTTAAATTTCTCTAACATCAGTGGTTTAGCTTGGAGAAAGGTACTGGAGACATATATGTAGTTATACATAAATTATAGAATCAAGGAATTTTGATAAGAGTTCTCATAAAGATATACTCTCTCCCTGGCTAAAGGCATTAGGCCCGGAAGGTTTTACAGGTGAGTTCCACTAAAGTCATCCTGATTCCTCTCTTCTCACATTCAGTCCATTGTTAGTCTGGTTAATTTTGCTGCCAAAACACATCATGAATTTGCTAAAACTCTAGCTTGAATGGCAATAGCCTCCTCACTTCCATACCTACTCCTCTCTGCAATCCATTTCCACACATTAGTCACAGTTATGTTTTGAAAACTTAGATCAAATCACCTCACCTGCTCTTCTGAGGAAATGTCATCAATGTCCTTTCATTGCTCTAATAATAAAACCCCAAATTGCTTAATAGAGACCATAATGTCCACCCCTAACTATGTTTCTACTTTCATCCTATACCAATATCCTCCTCGATTACTACACTTCCATCATACTGGCCTTATTTTACTTCCTAGAATAGTCCAAGTATTGTATTAAAAGAGTAATACATGACACACAGTTAGGACTCATACTAGGAATGTAATGATGGGCCCAAATTAGGATCAATTAATTAATTTCATTCACCACATTATAAAGAACATCATACTGAAACAGATGGGTTCCATTAATGTTCAAAGCAAGAAAAGGATCCTACTGTTGAACACTAAATTATAGGTACTATCTAATGCAATAAGGAAAAAAAAAAGAATAAATATTACAAAAGTTTAGAGAATTGTTGTTGCTTGCAAATGACATAACCATCCACCTAAAAAATCCATGAGAAACAACTGAAAAATTATTACTGCTTAGAAGTGAGTTCAGTAAAATGTCCAAATACATAATAAATATATAAAATAAATTAACTTTCTTATTAACAGTAATTAATTATAAAATATGGTGGAAAAATGTCCTAGAATCAAAGAGATGAAAAAAAAAATCTCAGGATCTATTGCTTTCAAATGGGAAATTTGAAAATTAAGACATGGAGTGCTGATGAAAGAAAATGCATTTTAGAATGTGAAACTAAACCTCTTTCTAATGACTGTTTCAATTGATAATACGTCTACTATATGTGAGGTATGCTTTTAAAAAGTTGAACATGCTTACACACCAAAAAAAAACCCCTCTAGCCTCCTGGTTTCCATCAAAGGAATTCTGAAATTAATACTTTTTACTTCTAATGGCTATCTTTCTTTTGGCAAACGTGATAACAGGTGTATATTAAATATTTAGGTAATACCCCTTATATTCAGGGAGGTTCCTTAGGGATCTCAGTAATTCAAAGATCAACTCTGGACCACAGCAAAGGAGAGATTTATATCTCTGGGGGACAAAACTCCAGAAACGTCAGCCTCTGTGTTGTCTAATATGGTAGCCACTAGCCACATGAGGCTAGTTACATTTAAATAAAACTAAAATTAGTTAATATTAAAATTAAAAATTCAGTTCCTGGGGCACCTGGATGGCTCAGTTGGTTGAGCGACTGACTTCAGCTCAGGTCATTATCTTGCAGTTTGTGGGTTCGAGCCCTGTGTCAGGCTCTGTGCTGACAGCTCGGAGCCTGGTGCCTGCTTCAGATTCTGTGTCTCCATCTCTCTCTGCCCTTCCCCGTTCTGTCTGTCTGTCTCTCTCTCAAAAATAAATAAACATTCAAACAATTAAAAAAAAATTCAGTTCCTTAGTCATACTAATCCATATTCCAAGCACTCAACAGCCACATGTGGCTAGTAGATACAGTATACAAGAGAGCTCTAATATAGAATGTTTCCATCATCACAGAAAGTTCTATTGGGCAGTGCTATTACTTTTTTAAATTATTTTTTAAATGTTTATTTATTTTTAAGAGCGAGAGAGACAGAGTGTGAGTGGGGGAGGGCAGAGAGAGAGGGAGACACAGAATCTGAAGTAGGTTCCAGGCTCTGCGTTGTTAGCACAGAGCCTGATGTGGGGCTCGAACTCATGAACAGAGAGATCATGACCTGAGCTGAAGTCAGATGCTTAACTGACTGAGCCACCCAGGCGCCACTAGGCAGTGCTGTTCTTATACTTTGCATAGTCCATAGTCTTTTAAGGTTAACATTTTTTCTTCTTAAATTATAAAGGAATGACGGCTGCTTGGTCTTTCATTTGCAACCCGAGAGACCACCTATCAAGACGCTGTATTTGTTTCTTGCAGAAAGATGAAATATATTCAGTTGGGGGAAAGTATTGACATTCATGATGAAGGGGAAAGAGGTTAGTGTTGGAGCTAGATGATCCAGGTTCAAATACTGGTCCAGCTCATCACTTAGTAATCAGTTACTTTGAGCCTCAGCCTTTCTTTCCTCTGTAAAATGAGGATCATAGAAATCTATATGTTGCGGGGAGTAAAGCAGATGGAAGGCATGTGAAGGACTTAAATAGACAGTCAATAAATGATGCCTGACGTCAAGCACAGTACCTTGCATACGTTAGTTACCATTTACATTTTTCTTTCCTCTTCATTTGTGTGATGATAAAGAACTGTCTCGGGGCGCCTGGGTGGCGCAGTCGGTTAAGCGTCCGACTTCAGCCAGGTCACGATCTCGCGGTCCGTGAGTTCGAGCCCCGCGTCGGGCTCTGGGCTGATGGCTCGGAGCCTGGAGCCTGTTTCCGATTCTGTGTCTCCCTCTCTCTCTGCCCCTCCCCCGTTCATGCTCTGTCTCTCTCTGTCCCAAAAATAAATAAATGTTGAAAAAAAAATTTAAAAAAACAAAAACAAAAAACAAACAAACAAACAAAAAGAACTGTCTCTCTTTCCATCCCCTTTTTGAGCTTTGGCACTATTTTTGGAAGTGTACCCTAGCAAAGTGCTCCAAGCCATGGACTCACCCGACTCCGGTCTGAAATGCTGTAGTGGAATACTTGTTGCCAAAGCCCAGGTAGCTTGGGAGCTCCAGCAGATATTAAATAAGACCTTCCACACGTGGAAGAAACATTTCTTTGGCTGAGCAAATGGGTGTGTAAGGGTTACGACTTCAAGGAGAGAAGTGGCGCTACAGGCACCACGGGTGATGCACTTGGGCTGGGCCGTTAGCTGTGTTTCCGTGGTGGAGGAGAGACAGGTCCGATTTCAGGTCAAGGGTCACAGCATTTAACTTTCTTACTCCCTCGGGGTTTCTGCCAACTCACCTCATTATTTAGCTCTTGGATCATTTGCTGGGAGGCGTTTTGTTTGCTGAGAGAGGAATCCAGTTGCGTGGAATATTGCATTAACTGTGCTTTGACATTCTCATTTTCCTCCTCCAATATTCTCAGATTTTCCTTTGTCTGCTCCCCCATTAGAGAACAAAGCCCAGAAAAGAGGTGTTACCTCAGATTCCTTTAGAAGCCTGCTCCCCCTTCCCAGCCTGTAGCTCCATCCTGCAGCCTGCCTTCTCTTGGGCCTTCTCTCTCCTCCTCACTTGCCTTTCTCACCTTACCTCCCCCTTCTCTCCTTAGATTTGAGTCCCCATGGCCTCTGTATCCTACTAGGCTCAGTGGGGCTCAAGTCTTGCCCGGATTCATGACCCAGCTCTTCTTGGGTTCTCCTTCTCACCATCTTTTCTTTCCTTTTTTCCTCTTGTCGGAATGTCTCCAGCTCGTGCTCCAGCAACTTCTCCTGTTCTTTGCTCTTTTTCAACCGCTCCCGTTTCTCCTCCAGTAATCTTGTTACCTCCTGAAGCTCCTCTTCTAGATTGCTTTTGGCGGAGGCTTGCTCCCTATGCTGAGAAGTAAAGAGACTGGCCTGAAAGACAGTCTTAAGGCTCTACGCTTTTGAAACAAAACAAAAAACAAAACAAAACAAAACAAAACCCCCTTCCCCTGACAATTGTATAAAGGGAATGGCTGAAATAAACATGAGGGCAACTCCTTGGTTATTTAGCATAGATAATAACAGATTCCTCTGATGTTCAGCATTTTTTTTTGTTCGATTAGATATACCAACTTATTTTATTTATAGATCCAGTTCCCACAGCATCAGCCTTCTCTCCCACTTACTCACTAAATCTTTCCACATAAAAACCTCTTTGAATAAAGTTTTTAAAAAAATCTTAGAAAAGCACAGAAAGAATAATTCAGAGATCAAAGACTTTAAAATGACTGACAAGGATGGCTTTTGAATCCTATAAAAAAAAACCCAACATTGTCCTCTGACTGTTTTTAAGCTTAGCCCTTGAAAATGCTTATTATTGGTCATGGGAACTAGAGCTGACAGGCTGGCTTAGCTTTCTAACACAAACTCTGGACAATGAGTTTGAATGGATTGGTGGTGGCATCTTCCCAAATAAAGACTAATATATTTAATCTGGAGCAGAGCAAATGCTTGAGCTGGCAGCCTGCTTGCCCTTTATACCTGGTGTTGAAGGAGTTTTAGACGATCTAGCAGGTCAGTCAGCTTCGCGTCCTGCTCAGCTGTTGTCTTCTGAAACTGCCTCTTTTCCTTCTCTGAATGTTCAAGCTTCCTCCGGGCCTCAGAGAGTTCTGACGTCAGCTCCTCTATCCGTTTCCTAAAGCAACATGGCAACAACAGGAGGACAGACTCAGTGTCTATGTTGGCGGATCATGAGCCACCCGCACGGGGCTTGCTGGCCCACTCCCGGGCAGCTGCTGCGGTGTCCCGGCTGGCTCGCAACGGACAGAGCCTCTCTCTAGAGGTGGCGTGGTGGTACCTGTTGGGTGCGAGTTCCTCTCCGGCCATCAAGGAATCCTTCTGCAGCTTCTGAAGTTCTCTCTGCAGCTCCTGGATGGTCTCCGTCTTCTGCTTCTCCATGAATAGGTAGCTTTGCAGTTTCCTCTGGGAATCCTCTAGGTTACTCTTTGCCAGAAGGGCCTCTTCTTTATACTGGGCTGCTTGCTGAGCTGCAGAACACAGGGGACAAGCCAGGCACATGTGCATGTGAGGAGGGAGTGTGCATGAAGACCAGACTCCCAAATAAGACCAGTCTGTTCCTTCATTTTGTGCCCTACCTCAATTTCCAACCTGCCCTCATTTCTCTCCATTTCATTATCACTCCAAAGGAACTCTGTTAAATTATCCGTCTTCAGCTATCCCCCAGCCATGGCCTGCTTCTGGACTAAAGTTCAACAAATCAATATAAACTGCTTGGTATCTCTTATGTGACTCATCCTGTCATTATGGACAAATCCTGACCCTAACAGAGTTTAGATTCTAGTCAGGGAGACAGACTGGCCCACATGACATAGAGGACACAGTAAGCGTGCACTCACTGTGAACTCCTGTGAAGCAAGATTGGTGGGGATGGACTTATGGAGGAATAGAGGTTGCGCTGAGCCTGAGAATAAGGAGGAGGAAAGGAATTCCAGATGAGGGGATTGTTAGAGCAAACACATGGGAAGGGAACAGGGGAGGCATGTGGGAAGAGGATGGGAAGAGACTGGTTTGATTGGAAAGAAAAGTGGGAAGGGGTGCCAGGAGACAGCTGAGCAGGTACACGGACAAGAGAGGGCTTTGGAGGACTTGGAAAGCCAGAGAGAATGTTCAGAGTTAATTTAGTGGGTTCTTGAGCAGGGACCTGGCATAAAGAAAAGACTATTTTAGGGAAACTAGAATGTATTAAAAGGGGAAAGACTTCCTACAAATATCGTTTTAGTCCATTCCTTTGCCCCCACTGGGTGTAAAGGGAGAAACCTCAAATACGTTGCTTACCGGAGTTTCTCTACACCAGAATATGCTCCTATATACTAAAGTTTCTACTCTTGTTTCTAACTTCAACCTCACCCTAGTCTCTGTTTTTCAGCCTTGGAGACCGGAAGAAAGATGGTATCACTACAGAAATAATTATATAACTTGGAAGAAGAAGGAAGATTTTCTGTTTTTAAGCAGGGAAGAGAACAGTTTCAGTTTTGGGAATGAAGAATTAGAGGGCTAAAGCCCAGAGCGGGCTGCTCTCCAAAACGAGTGACCACAGGTGCCAAGTCAGGATGGGGGCTCTAGGTTCTAGAGTTGTCCAGAGAACTAGAGCAGAGGGAGGAGGGCAGAATGTAAGGGGCAGGTGACTACTGCCAGAGAAGGAGGGAAAAGAGGAAACAATGGTGACGTTTATGAAAGAAGGGACCTGTTATGTCTCCAAAGCTGGGAAACAATGGTTGAATGTGGGAGCCCAACCACACACAGACACACACTGTTACAGGAGGGGAGGAAGGAGGCTACACTTGGGACCCTTTCTTCCCCCGAAATTGATATGTCACTCACATAACATAAAATTGAACTCCTTAAAGCATACAGGTCCGTGGCTTCTGGAATACTCTCAAAGGTGTGCAACCATAATCAGTGTCTAATTTCTGATCATTTTTCGTCACCCCAAGAGGAACCCCTTACCCAGGGCAACAAGTTATCGGCCACCTCTGAGAAAGCAGTCTCAGCAGTGGAGCAAGGACACAATTGACAGTGCAGGCTGCACAGAAAGGATGCGTTTGGAGGCAAAAAAAAGGGGAGAGAATGTATCTAAACCAGGGAGAGGAGAGGTAAATTGTATGATGAAGGTCCTGGAGAAGATGGGGAGGAAAGCAGTGCACTGAAGCAGAATATGGAGACCTGTCCTCCCCAGGATGGGGAGAGGAGAAGACCTTCACCTGAGGCAGTTGGGAAGGCGGCGGGCATGTGAGCTCAGTAGTCCACTTTCCCACTTAGGGGTGCGTGCAGGAGCTCGAGAGGGCATTGTGATCCCTGGGAGATGTACCCTGAGGTCACTGAAGGTTTGGAGTGAAAAAGTGGAGGAAGAAGAGGAAAGTGGCCCGTTAGAGAAAAAAGGGACTGCTCTGGCCCTGTGGGTTTGAAGTGTGCTGGGGACAGGGACACCACCTGCCGGGGCCTCACCAATCAGCTTCTGTTGCTGTTGAGCATCTTCAAGACAGTCCTTCAGCTTCTGGATCTCAGCCTGCAGGGCTCCACACTCTGCCTTGGACTTATCTTGCTTCACCTCCTGGATGGTGATTTCAAGTTCTGTTGTCATTCGTTGCTGCTTCTCCAACTCCATCTCCTTTTTCATGAGGCTGTTCTGAACCTGGGCCAATTCCTTCTCAAGCTCGTGCAACATCTCATCTTTCTCTTGGAGGATCTGAGGAAAGCAAAATGTGGATGCTGATAGAGGCCTCAGTAGTGCCCTGGAGAGGCCAGTTAGAGATTGTCTAGAGTCCTCTCCAGCTGCCATCTTCTCTTGTGTGGACATCACAGTAGTCTCCTACCTCTGCTTCCTGCCTTAACTCAGGCTGCTCTCAACGCAGCAGCCAGGGAAGGGGTGGAGGGTGGGGGTCTCTGAAAGTTTAAGTCAGATCTCGTTCTGCCTCTACTCAAACCCTCCGCTAGCCACATTCACTTAGTAAAAGGCCAAAGTCCTTCACAATGACCTCCCAGGATGCTCATGATCTGGTCTGACCTCACCTCATGGCGCACCCCTACCCCTCTTGCCTTCAGCCTATCTCCTAGAATATTCTAAGCAGACTGCCGTATAAGGGGGCTCTTGCACTTGCTACTCCCTCTGCCTGGAATATTCTTCCTTAAGACCTTTGCCTGGGTGGCTCCCTCACTTCATTAAAATCTCTGCCCAAATGTTACCTTATCACAGAGGCCTTCCCTGACCACCCTGTGTGAAATAGCCACAAAGCTGTTGTAAGAACTTATCAGTACCTGATATTGGCATTATATTATATATGAGTTCTGTGATTTGTTTATCGTCTGTCTCTTGGTATTAGAATGTAACCTCCAGGGGAGTAGGGATGTTGCATGTGTTATTATATTCTTTTTAAAAATGTTTACTTATTTCTTTTGAGAGAGAGAGAGAGAGAGAGAGAGAGAGAGAGAGAGAGACAGAGAGGGGAAGAGCTTGAGCATGGAAGGGGCAGAGAGAGAGAGGGAGAGAGAGAATCCCAAGCAGGCCAGGCCATCAGTGCAGAGCCTGACAAAGGCCTCAATCCCAGGAACGTGAGATCATGACCTGAGCTGAAACTGAGTCAGACGCTTAACCAGCTGAGCCACCCAGGCACCCCTGTGTTATTATATTCTTAATGCCTAGAATGGTGCTTGGCATACCACAGGAACTCAAAAATATTTGTTGACTGAATATATGAATGACTCAAAGCTGTTTACCCAGACTCCTTGCCTCTTGTGGTCATCTCTCTGATATTTCCATTTTGACTAATGGATCCCCTCTAGACCTTCAAATGGGAGGTTTGAATGACCAGCCAGTCAAGGGGTTGGATGATTTCTATTAGCTCTGATGGAAGTTTAGAGTTGGAATAGCACTGACTACACAAGCTTGCATTGGTTTCACAACCTTTCTGTCCTTACTTCCATTCGTAGGCTTTTCCAGGACCTTGACTTATGTTGGCAATTATAGATCTTCCAAGGCATAGTTCCATTAGTATTTTCAAACTGCCTGATTTGCATATTCATAAGATATTTGTCATTTTATAAATTGAAATTTCTTGAAATTCATAAGTTTACCTTACAGAATTTCTTTTTTTTTTAAATATGAAATTTATTGTCAAATTGGTTTCCACACAACACCCAGTGCTCATCCCAACAGGTGCCCTCCTCAATACCCGTCACCCACCCTCCCCTCCCTCCCACCCCCCATCAACCCTCAGTTTATTCTCAGTTTTTAAGAGTCTCTTATGCTTTGGCTCCCTCCCTCTCTAACTTTTATTTTTGTTCTTCCTTCCCCTCCCCCATGGTCTTCCATTAAGTTTCTCAGGATCCACATAAGAGAGAAAACATATGGTATCTGTCTTTCTCTGTATGACTTATTTCACTTAGCATAACATTCTCCAGTTCCATCCACGTTGCTATAAAAGGCCATATTTCATTCCAGAATTTCTTTCCACTATCAAGTACAAACAAAAGTATTTTATTTATTTATTATGTGCTATGAGAAATCCCAAAGAAGTGCTCAGAATTGCCTCTGGGCCTAAGGACCCCACAGTCTCACTGCTCCTGTGTTGACGGTCCCTGGGCTGTCACAGGGCGTGGGTACAGAGCTGCAGGGCCTGCTCTGGCCGGGGTCCAGCCTCTCACCTGTCCCACTGGTGGCTCTACCCAGAGGGCTCCTCTTGCCTTACCTTGTCTTTCTTCAAACCCAGCTTCTGGGTCTCAGTGAACTGGATCTGTAGCTCTTGCAGCCGCCGTTGCAGGATGATGACCTCCTTATCCTTCCTCTCCATGTGGGCGGATGTCTCCTCCCGCAGCCCGTGCAGGTCCAGCTCCAGCTTCATCATGTCTACAGCGGGATGGGGCATGTGCTTCTTGCTCAGAGGGGGGCTCCGGCTTCCTTCTGCCTCCCTCCCGGCCCCCACTGCTCCCTGGCTCACCCTTCATGATGTTCTTCTTCTGTTCGGACACGGCCTCTAGCTCCATGCGCAGGTCCTTCACCAGGTTCTGGTACTCCTCCACGTGCAGGCACTGGCTGTCTTTCTGCTCCTGCAAGTGCTTCAGTATCTGGGCGGATGGGAAAGGAGAAGGGCGGGATGAGGATATGGGGGAACAGTGCTTTCTAAAATGCTGACTCTCAGGCAACCTGGGTGGCTCAGTCGGTTAGGCATCCCACTGATTTTGGTTCAGGTCCTGATCTTACATTTGTGGGATTGACCCCATGTTGGGCTTTGTGCTGACAGTGCAGAGCCTGCTTGGGATTCTCTTTCTCCCTCCCTCTCTGCACCTCCCCCTGCTCTCTCTCTCTCTCTCTGTCTCTGTCTCAAAATAAATAAACAAACATTTAAGTTGCCAAATGTCTAGAACTGGTGAATCCAGAGAAACAGAGAAGAATAGTAGGTGCCAGGGGCTGAGGGAAGGAGGATGGGGAGGGACTGCTCGTGGATATGGGGTTTCTTTTTAGAGTGATACAAATATTCTGGAATTAGTGGGGATGGTGGCCCAACCTTGTGACTATTTTTAAACCACTGAACTGTATACTTTAATCAGTGAGTTTTAAAGTATGTCAATTATATCTCAATTAAAAAATATTAAAATAATAAAAAAATGTGGCAGACTTAGCATCCTCATGTAGAATGTGCACAAAAGCCCCCAGCCCTTCTGCCCTGTAACAATCAACAGTCACTGATGGAGCACCTACTATGTACTAGGCCCTGTCTCCTTCTGCCCTGTAACAATTGACAGTCATTGATGGGGCACCTACTATGTGCTAGGCACTATCCTAAGTGCTGGGGACAGTGGAACAAAAAACCCCACAGACATGAATCCTTGCTGCCATTGAGCTGACCTTACAGTGGGGTGAGACAGACAAAGAGCCTAAGTAGTCACTTGCAGACAATGTTAACAGTTGATAGGTGCTATGGAAGAAACAGAGCAGCAAGAGGGGAATGGGGGTGTATGGGGGGATGGGGTTGTCATTATAAATAGAATGGACAGGTTGGCCCCACTGAGAAGGTGTCTCTGAGCGGGGAGTGAGCCATGCTGTAGTGTCTCTAGGTATCTGCAGACAGGGGAACTAGCCTGTGACCAGACTTTGGGGATAGAACATGGGGAGGTCATGTGGTTAGAGGGATAGGTGATGGAGAGAGTAGGGGGACATGAGGTGAGAGGTCAGTGGGTGGTAGCATCATGGGGGGCTTGTAGTCCTCGGGCAAGGACTTTGGCTTTTTACCCCGAAGCAGGAGGCTGTAACTAAGAGAAGGTAGGAAGATGTGGTCGAGGAGGAGCAGTTAGTCATCTGGACATCAAGGAGAGTTATGTGATTTCAGAGTTGTCAGGAAGAGGAGACTGCAGCATGAAGGTGGGCAGGCTGGAGGAATATAGGGTAATCACCATATGATCCAGGTGTGGGCACTGCAGAGGCTCAAAAGCTCACTCTATGGGGTGCCAGAGTGGCTCAGTTGGTTAGGTGTCTGACTTGGGCTCAGGTCACAATCTTGTGGTTTATGAGTTCAAGCCCTGGATCAGGCTCTGAGCCAACAGTGCAAAGCCTTCTTGGGATTCTCTCTCTCTCTCTCTCTCTCTGCCTCTACCCAACCTGCTCTCTTTTGCTCTCTCTCTCTCTCTCTCTCTAAATAAATAAATAAACTTAAAACAAAAAGGCTCACTCTATGCCAGGCCAGCTGGGACCTGGATAGTGCCATTCCTAATAGAACATCCAGGTAACATGAAAGCTTTGGATAGGACACATAAAATGGCAGTGGAAAGTATAGTCTGTTTCATAGGGAAGTCTGCATCAATTTAAAAAATGTAGTGGTAAAAAGGCATTAGTGTTTCATTGGTATAGAGTTTTGGTTTTGCAAGATGAGAATGTTCTAAAGATCTGTTGCACAACAATGTGAATATAACTTAACATGACTAAAATGTACACTTAAATGTGACTAAGATGGCAAATTTAATGTTATATGTATTTTTGCCATTATAAAAAATAAGAGTATGGGAGAAATAAAGACATTTTTCAGACAAAAAAAAAAAAAA